CCTCCTCCTACCTGCTCCTCCTCATCATCACATCATCATCATCATCATCATCATCATCATCATCCCTCCTCCTCCTCCTCCTCCTACCTCCCTCCCTCCTCCTTCCTGTCTTCTCCCTTCTTCCTTGGTTTCTCATCATTGGATTTTCCTCTCTACCTCCTCCCGTTTCATCACTCTCATCATCATTCCCCTTTCACCACCTTGTCTCCCTTCTCCTCTTGCCCTTCACCTACACCTCCTCTTCCTTGTCCTCCTCTTTCCTTGACGATGACGAGCTGCTCTTCCCCCCTCACCCTCACCATCATCATCACTCGCTCTGCTCCTGATCCTCCTCAATCCTCCGCTACACCACCTTCTCCACGAAGTTTCCTCCACCTCTCCCATCTCGTCTCTACCTCCAGCCGCTGCTCCACCTGTCAGCCCTCAGGCTCCTGTCGCTCTCTCACTTGTCGTTTCTCAGCTCTACGGCATCATGGCAGGCAAGGCGAAGGAGATCAACATCGTCATCCTCGACGTAGGACGTCAGATGAAGGAGGAGGAGCTGGCCATCGGCAAGAAGTTTCTGTCGGAGTTTCTGAGGGAGAGGATCTTCGATCCTGACATGTACGCGGGTGTCGTGCTGATAGGCGCACGAGGTGGGAGAAGGAGAGGAGAGAGGGAGGAGAACCTCTCCGGTGAGACGCTGGCAGGTGCCAAGAGCTTTTTCAGCAAGGAAGGAGGAGGAGACTTCGAGGGGTACGGCAACATCCGCATGCTCGAGAACGTGAGGAAGATCAGCTCCCGCCTACTCGAGAGCGTCAGCAACCTTAACTTGGAGCAAGGGAATTCAAATTGTACGTGAGGGGAGGAGGAGGAGGAGGGGAGGGGATTGTCATGCTCTTGCAGATGTTGATGGGATGGTCGTTGGGCTTGACTTGCTGCACTCGTTCCTCGATGGCTTCAACTCCAAAGTCAAGCCGAAGGCGATCAGGTTGATTCTTGTCAGCAACGGGAGGGCAGCGGAGGAGGAGGAGGAGCTCAGCGAGCTCTGTGCGGTCATGCGGCATCGCTCCGTCGCCTTCTCAGCTTAGTGAGTTTGTTGCTCCTCCCGCACATGCCAATGACGATGACGATGACATCACGATGACGCTTGTGGCACCCACAGCATCGTGAAGGAACAGGAGGGTCTCGTTTCCCATCCCCTGCTGCAGACGTTGATGGAGGAGAGCGACGCCAAGCTCTTCCTCCTCCCCCGTGACGCCCGCGCCCTCCACCCCGAGCCCCGTAACACGCAGGTCGCCACCTTCAACTCCACGTGGCGCCTGACAGCGAACCTGTCGCTCAAGGTCTGCCACTGAGCCTCCTCCTCCCCTCCCTCCTCCTCCTCCTCCTCCCTCCTCCTCCCTCCTCCTCCCTCCTCCTTCTCCCTCCTCCTCCTCCCTCTTCCTCAATCTCCTCCATTGCTGACGG